TAGATCACGCTCAACAATCTGCCACACTCGATCCACCTCACAGTTCACATAACAGTCAACAATGGGTTTATTCTCCCTCCACGAGTACGGCCATCCCTTGTCCGAGGTGAGCACCATCAGCCTGGGACGTGGTGGGCTGAATTGCTCCACACCGTCATCCTTTTCGAAAGTTAGACCTTCCTTCTTGTACGTCCATGACTGCGGTGGTTTTCCCTCATGTACCTCCATTCGGTCCTCCCAAATCTTATCGTCATAAAACCCCAAGACATGGCCCCACTTCGCATCGTACACAGACTCGTAGAATCCCTCCATCTTGGTTGTCTTTTCTTCAGTATCCTGCCTCACATCTTCTTCTGCCCTCCGCTTCGCCCTTTCTTCTGCCTCCCACCTTGCTACTTCTTTCTGTATCTGAGTGAGGGCATCGTTAAGTTTTTTCCTTGTAAGGGGAGTGACAATATCCTTCTCTTTAAAGTCCCTCCAATGTTCGAGATAGTGCACACCCCCTTCTGCAAGCTTACGCCTATCTGTTAAAAGCTTATAATCCTTTAAATTAGAAATTTCTTCAAGCAGCTGCTGGTCTTTTATGTAGGCATCGGGGCTCTTCAAAAAATCCCACATCTCCAAATTCTGTTCTTCTTCAACGGCTTCCCTAGAGCCAAAATACTTCCGAAGAAAATCATTCAACTTCATCTTGGAAATGTCGGTCTCTCCGTCCAGCAGGATGTCCCTCACGGTGCTGCACATGGTCCACTGTAGTTGCGCTTTCTCCACTCTTATGAGAGTCGCAGCGGGCTGATCTGTGTCACCCTCAAGGTCCAACCTCGCTCTCTTCCGAGAATCTCCCTGTGGCACAGCAGACGCTTGGCCCTCCTCATTACCGTAAATTCCTTTCTCTGGTCTTCCAGACATTGTTTCTCCTTGTTTTCTTAGTTGGATCGAGTTAAAGCTGAACACTAACAAACAATCAAAAGGGGAATAAGAGAGAAATGAGATACGCACGGATATGACTAGCAGTCACAAAAATAGAGTCATCCACACGGTGTAGGACGCACACCACATGCACGGAGACCACCGCAACGACGGCAAGTGGGTGACATCCACCCAGCACAGTGTTGGAGAGCGCAAACGATAACAACAACTTGGTGGTCACGGAGGGCTCGCCCACGCATCCCGCTCGCTACGGTCGCACACCTGCGTGGCACCGCCGTCGCCACACACTCTCTAAAAAAGGACGTGCTCGCACAACGCACACGCACACACAAGTAAGCATTATTTGCACTCAATTATCTCCACTGCATGCATGTTTCTGTGAATTTTCGTGTCGCAGTTCTTCTTGCCTCCCCCTTCTTCTTCACATGAAAGCCAAAAGAATCCAAGGTGAAATAAATAAAGAAAAACAAAACAAAAAACAAAATTGTGTCGTTTTCCTCGCTCCCACAGCATCCAGCGTTTGCGATTTTCCAAATTCTTCTCCATTTGCATCCTGTCCTCCCCCCTTATCGTGAACTACAACTCCTTTATTAAGTCTTTTGTTATATTTTTTTGGTGCGCCTCAATTGTTCCGCCACCAATTTCAAGTAACTTGGCATCCCGCCACAGCCGTTCCACCGGCATTTCCCGGGAGTACCCCATGCCGCCCATCACTTGCATCGTGTTGTCCGCCACACGCTTCGCAACTGGGGCAGCAAACAATTTTGCTGCATCGCTGCCTAAACGATTATTAGATGTCGGCGACACGCTGCGGCTAACAGAGTACGTGAGGGCTTTGGCTGCCTCCGTCTCTGCGTAGCTCTCGGCAATGAGACGCTGAATCTGCCCATAGTTCCATATGGGCTTTCCAAACGCCTGACGCTCACTAGCGTACCTCGTCATAAGCTCCACACAGCGGTCTGCGATACCAATCGCCATAGCGGCAAGCGTGAGACGCTCAATCTCGAGGTTGCGCATCATCCCCACCATTCCCTTTCCCTCCTCACCCAATATGTTCGTTTTGTCCAGCTCCACATTATCAAAAAACAATTGACACATTTGGGAGCTTCGCATACCACACTTGTCAATCTTTGTACCACATGTAAACCCAGGCGTCCCCTTTTCCACCACAAAAGCGGTAATTTTGCCATCCACCTTTGCGTACACGAGTAAAACATCAGCAACCGTACCGTTGGTGATCCACGTTTTACAGCCATTTAGGACATACTTCCCGTCACCCCACTTCTTGGCAGCGG